TAGATCAGATTCATAGTGATTCTCCTGCTTATAGCCTCCCAAGAGCTGGGATTACAGGCTCAGGCCACCACACCCAGTCTCAATTGCTATCTCAGCTTGCCCCAGCGGTGGGGCCGGCACAGCAGGCCAGGGGAACAAACTCCTGGCCCATGTATCTGCTTGCAGGTGTTTAATCTGCTGAACTATTTGGCTGGTCCTTAGAAAGTAAATTTAGCTTTTACTGTATTAGTCAATTATTCAGAAATACAGATACAGCTCACGTAAGAGGAAAGCAAGAATACTAAAAACTAGATGATAAGGCTGGGGAGATAGCTCAGTGGTTTAAATACCTGCCTGGCAAGCATATGGACCTCAGTTTGATCCCCAGTACTGTATGCCATGCCCAGACCCCGGAACCCTGGGCATGCCTTTCTGCCCCCAAAACCAGGCATGGTAGCACACACTTATAATCCCAGCTCTGGGGAAGCTGAGATACGAGAATCACTATGAGTCTGAACTGCATAGCAAGACCCTATATCAAAAAAAAAAAAAAAAAGCCAGATGATAATTGTTTACTGAAGAATTCTTTTATCTTAAAACTTTCTCTAACAATTCCTTATATCTCTTTTTTATAAACTTTAATCAATTAAATATATACTTTGAATAAAGCAATATATTGTATTATACTTGTTTCAGAACAATTCTTACTTTACTATCTATGTTAATATCAGATTTTTACAATGCAAAGCTGCATGTTAGGACATGATTTGATTCATGATATATAGAAACTCATATAATAAATGGGTATATCAAAATTTATGCCACATCTTTCTCAATACCTGACAGAGGACTTGATGGACTACACAATTTGAAATTTGAAATGTGATTTGAGGAACTTTGTAACTTTATTCCATGTCACTTTAGGCAATGTGTAAGATTTAATAATAATATATCATTTGTCCCTGTGCATAATGGACTCTTCTGATTTCAACTTTTTAAAATACCGTGCACTAGAATCACTAACCAAGGTCCGAAATACAAAGACAAATAGCTTAATGAATAGAAAAGGATTTGAAAGTTGTAGAAAAAACAATGTCCATGCTTTGAACAAGCAACATCTGGACTTCTGAGACCAGCTGCAGAGATAAGGAAATGCAGAGCAGCCTAATACATACTATACTGGACACTTTGGCAACTTAATTAGCTTGTCAAGAAAACCAATCTCTTTTTCCAAAAGAAAGATCTCCTATTTCCACGTGAATTAAAAGGGGAAGCTTGATGATTTAATTATGACGCACGCTAATTCATCCGTGGAAGTTTGGGTTCGATTTCGAGCAATAAAGATGCTGCGTGGCTTGGTTTACAGTGCAATGACGGTACCAATTTAACATTTAATCATCGAGGAGAAGCAGATGACAAAGGCAATGCCAGGCATGAGTTGAGTGAGTCCCTTCACTTTCCAAATGGCCTTCTACGTGGAGAAAAGAAATCTGTTTACTTTCAGTGGCTACTGGGACACTGCCTCTCAATTGGATGCTGCATCTCAACGGCCTCGACCTTCCTCAACACATTAACTGGAAAGTGATTAATGAAGTTTGAATGCAGGCTCTGGTTACACCAAAAGACAACGATACACCTCCACAATGTTTTAATTAACAGCTAACACTTCAAATTAGTTTGTTGTTGCCACAGTAATTACCTGTTCCAAAGAGTGCATGGAGGAAGCATTCTTATGTGATATTTTTAGTGCTTAGTCCTGAGTGTTCTGTTTTGTTTGTGACCAGCACAGGCCTTTAGGGAATTGTCTCATCCTTTAAAATTTAATGCACACCATGTATACTTGAGGGTGGCAAATGCTACTGGCCCAGTATGAATTTTTGAATGTATATAAAACAACAAAAAGCCCAGCGCTGGTGAAGGATGACCACCCACACTTTTCTTCCCCTTCCCAGTGCTGGGGATAGAGTCTAGGGCCTGGGAGCAAGTGCTCTAAGACTAAACTACACCCCTGAGGCTTTTTTACTTCCTCTTTTCCTTGGAAACAATAGGTTCTAGATGACTGAACAAAGGTGATATCAACCTTTAATCCTGACAGCCAGGGGCTGGTGAGATGGCTCAGTGGTCTAAAGCACCTACTTAGAACAAGCTTTGCAAAGCACAGGGACCATGGTTCAATCCCCCAGCACCACATGCCAGCCAGCCCCACCCCCTGGTGGGCTGAGCTGGCCACACACATACACATAAATAAATAAAATTTTAAAAAAATAAAAAAATAAATCCTGACAGGCAGAATCAAAGCGTTTACTGACCTAGTAGGGAGTATAGAAGTGTTGAGTCTCATCCTATTCTTTTACAGCCAAAAGTGGGGTTACATTTCTGGCCAGTGGGAAAGCCAAAACTGGGACTATAGAAAAAGTATTTAAAGGAACTATGTGATGATGATGCAAGTTTCAAAAACTTTATTTGTGGGCAGAGAAGTACACAATGCAGAGTGCTTGAAAGCTTATACTATTTTAATCAAATAAAGGTGAGGAAACGTTTTGCTGTGAGTGCCAATCTATCTCGGGACACAGAAGAGCAAAGCATGTGGGCTCCCTGGACAATGCCTGTTCCTGACAGCCACTCTGCCATCTCTCCACATGTGTGTGACCAGGTCTCAGCTGTCACAATTCTGGAGGAGGGGAGGTGACAGGTGTGTGAGGTTTCAGTGAGAGAAAACCCGGGGCGGGATGGAGCACTCAGTAAGCATCTGTTCCATATTACGAGGCTGGGAGTTCAGTGCCAGAGGATTGTGAGGGTCAAGCCTTAGTTTCTCAGGCAAACTGAAAGAACAAGAAATCTCTCGGCTTCATAGTCAGGCTCTGTGCTCTATCAGCGAACACTTATGCTGTTACCTATGGAGACCGAGTTAAAACAGCTACACTGTGATCCAAATTCTAGATTTCATCCTGGCTAGCTCATGCCCGCAACTGTGAGCTATTTACACTGCAGGCTGTGGCAAGTGCCGCGTGGCTTCAGGGTTCAGCGCAGCAGGAAGTCCTTTGCTTTGTCACTGTTGCTAACTGAGAAAGCCAGTGCTTTATTCCCTGTGAGTTAACAAATGGGAATATACAACCTACCCTAAAACACCTCCCTGCATTCAATATGCATCTCACAGACACTACAAAATAACATTTTGAGATCTTTCCTACCTTTCAAACTTTAATTGCTCTGTAATAGCTTCTGCCACACTGCACAAAGTCATTCATGTGCTTGTGACTCACCGTGGGCAGGAGTACAACCACGTCTTAACTACCTTTCTATTCTTTACACTTAGCACAAGTACCAGCCCATGACAGGTACTCCACACTTATGAAAAAAGTCTATCACTTTTTTTTTTTTGGGGGGGGGGTCTTTTTGAGACAGTGTCTTGCTATGCAGTCAGGTTGGCCTTGAGCTCACTTTGTAGCCCAG